TGGAGTTTGGTGGTCTGAGGGAGACCGCTGACCCAGCCGGGGGCGGGAGGACCAGGTCTGGGGCTTCGAGCGATAGCGAGGACAGCGGGAGGATGCATTCCGACCAAAACGCCGATACCGATTTTGATGTTGCATAGTGGCACTGAAGGAGATTCTGGAATGACTTCCCTTTGCGCAACACCTGGACACGGATTAGTTGCCTGCTTCTCAACCTCGCTGGTTCGCTTACCTCGATCATCGCATTCCAATTTGCATAGAAGGCTTCGTGTCCCTCGACGCTGACATCGATCCCCTCCACTTCCATGTCTTCTTCGTCAACCGTAAGGCCTTGCTTGCACACGTTCCAGTACGCTGGCAAACTCTTCGGCATAGACAAGTAGACATATCGATGGCTGAAACGACTCTTGACGCGCTTTTCCAGCATTTCCACAACATCCATCCGTGTCGTGCAGCCCAACACCGCAATGGGTGCTTTCCGTGCTTGCGCGATTTCAAACAGATTGTAGAGCAGGGTCTGGCGCGGGTGAGCAGCAAACATGTCAAACTCGTCAATGACGAATATGACAGCCTGCGACGTCACCCCCTCTTCCGCTTGAGCCATTTCTGACGGGTGGGAGAGTAGCGCCAGCAGCGAGGCCATGGTGTCGGCGTAGTTGGACTGGTATTGAATTAGAGACTTCTCTATCTTTGAGCAGTTCGACGTGGACCTACCCGAGCCGTGATGTCGTCTTCGGCTTCCATCTCCTTGCCCAGCTGGCGCCATATCTCCTTCAGAGCCAACTTGTCATCCGTGTGGATGAAGCCATTGAGGCGCACCACATGGAACTCCTTCTTGTATTGTAAAGACAGGTCGCTGACAATGCTCTCAACAAGCTGGGGATGTCAGTCTTATTCTTGGGTGATGTTCTTGCGTTGCTTACCGTGGTCTTGCCGCATCCCCTGGCTCCGATCACCAACATCGAGTTTCCCTCTCCTGCAAGCACTGTCTGCTCCACCAGCTGGTGTGCTTTCTCATATGCCTCATCCTGATCAATCAACTTGATCCGTCGGCGCCCCGTACACCTATCGAGCAGCACTCTCTTCATGCTGTTCAGGTGTTGGGCGAAGTTAGGAATCTTGGCCACCTCACCAGCCGCTAAAACCCGAGATTCCTTTTGCTGAACACAATCGTCACAGTACCAGTCGCCCTTGGGAACCTTCGGGACATTGTGGCACTTTTGGTGATAACACCCGTCACATCCATCGCAGAACAAAATCTTGTTTCCCGCCTTTGAGTCTGGCTTCGAACAGACGACGCAGATATCTTCATCTTCCGATTCCTCCTCTTCTTCGGCAGGCCCTCCCTCGACCTCGAGCTCAGGTTCCTCTTCCTCGTCTTCTTCCACCGGGTCCTCCTCAACCGCTTTGGGGGCCGGCCTTCGTGGTTTTGTCGTACTCGCAGCCTTCGGCGTCGCCTTTGCCGGGGTCTGCTTACTTCGTCCAGACTTTGTTGGCAGATCCTCAAAGAACACCTCTTCCTTGCTTTGTTCGTTATCAAAAGCAACGCTCTTGCTTCTCCTTGGTGTCCCGTCCCGTCTCGACGGCGTCAAGATACCCTTCAACGGCATGGAAACGTTGCGAACCGCCTTGCCGGTTGCGTTTTTCGTCTCCTGGACATCGTCGGCCGCTGACGATGTCGCGCGGGACACTGGTGTGCCGGAACGGATCCCTCCCAGCTGCTCCTCCAACACTTTGGCCGTTGGTATCCTGCGCCTCCCACTGGCGCGCGCCTTCACACCTGTTTCCTCGGTTGTGGGAATCTCCTCTGCCGGGTCCAGCTCCACTACGTTTATTGCACTTTTCTGCGACGGCACTCGTTTTCTAGCTGCTTTCTGCTTCGGCTCAGGCACGACCGCCTTCGCTATGCCACCGCTCTTTCTCACCGTCGGGCTCGCCTTCTGCGCATTCACCTCCTTGGGGTTCAGATGCAGCTCATCGTCGGAGTCTGGCACATGGTACGCATCGATATTGATCTGGCCACGAGCGGCAATTGGAACCTTGGGCGTCGGTCGGTTCACGCTTCGAACGTTTCGGATTCGTTTTGGAGGAGCGCCCTCCTCTGGGGAGTCGGGAACCTCGTATGGCGAGCTAACGGCCGGGGCGGTCTTGCGGCTGGACTTCTTGACGGCCGATGAGCCGACGCCAGGGGTGGATTTTGGCGTTGTCGGAGAGAATTTCGAAAGGTCGTTCAGTCTGCGCTTCTTCTGGAGGGACGAGGGCAGCTCGGGCTCTTTGCGCTTGCGGCTTGAGCCGGCGTCTGGGGCCATTTTGATAGCTTGATTGTGAAATCGTGGTGAGTGATATGGTGAGACGTCGAACTCGGGGATCAGTTGCCGCCAGATGGACGTCTCATTATCCGTAGAGCTGGCGCCAGGTTTCTGGGGTTACTATCGGGAATTTTGGAGCAATGGGACAGGGGTCCGACGCGTCGTTAGAAGTGAACGCGGTGCTGGCTGAGGTAGTACGTACATCGTAGGCATGGTCCAAGCGCTGGGAGCTATCGGCCGTGTCAAAGGCAGGTCTGTTCTCGGCCGGTTGGCATATGTTGGTCTCCCTGACATTACTAGATTCTTGCAGTACATGAATCGATTGAATAAATGTTACTTGCAGTCTCATCTTTGTGTGTTCATTCCAACATCAATCTTAAGTGCACGTTTGTAGTTCAATACAGAGGACCGTATCGTTCCTCTAGCTTCGTTTAGCAATCTCCTTTCTGATCTCCTTTCTGAATACCTGGTATGACCAGAACCAACTCATTGCACCCCCTATCCATAGAGCTGCATAGAAGTCGGGTGTCTCTCCAATCTTCTGTCCTGCACAAATCAGCCCGTATAACGCCGTCGCTGTGAACTTTACTTTCCCCAGCCCTGTTTTTTTGTTGATACATGCACCTCTGTTTAGCGCGCCCATTCTCTTCTGTGAAGATTCTCATGCCTCCGCATTTTTGAGCTTCCTCTCTGTCTTCCCAACCTCACCTCTTTACAGCAGAGTGGGCGCAGTGCTCTTCGTCCATCCCTTGGCCTTCATGCCGGCCTCAATAAGCCTCCAGATAGCCTCAGAGGCCTCCTTGTCTCTAAATTTGGCAGCCTCGATGGCACCCGCACCATCACGCCAGCGGTCGACTCCAATGTGCATCACACGGTGTCCCCACTCGCGGACACTTTCAGGCGGCTGGTCACCACGCCAGCCAACGTAAACGCCTTGAATGCGACGAAACAGGTCCTGCGGGTTGCTCCATTTGTAGTTCTTGAATTGCCACGACTGGCCCGTGGTGAAGACTGCAACGACGCGGTTCCAGTATTCCGGCTTGAACTGCTCGGGGCCCTCGACGAGAATGAAGCGCATGGGGCGCGAGGGGTCGATCTCCTTCATGATGCGCGACACATGCAACATACTCGAGGCCGCAGCACCACCATCGGGATTGACGTAACGCCCCTGCTCCAGGAACGAGCGAATATTGGACAGTCGCAAGAGCGAGGAGGCGGATGGCGAGAGAAGAATGATAGGATCGGGACGACGCGTTGGAGCCTTCGGGTTGAGTGCGAGGGAAGGGTTGGAGCTGATGTTTGACGATCCCTGGGGCTTCTTTTGGATGAATGGAACGGCGAGCTTGCGGACGTGGGAAAAGTCCTGTGAGGTCTGTCAGTCTATGCCGGGGGACATCGCCACACATGCGACTCACTGTAGGCTTGACGCCGCGCAGAATGGAGTTGCGGTCACCCATCTTGCGCTCTCCGTTGTAGATGACGGCCAGTCTGGGATCCAGCGTTCCGCGTCCAGCTCTGCTCGACGCAGCAGCAGGAGCAGCCTTGGACGCGCTTGCGCCAGCACCTTCTTTGCCCTCCTTGTCGCCAGCCAGCGGCTTGATATGCTCACTTTCTTCACTAGCGCCTTCCAGCCAGGTAAACAGGTCTAGACGTTCGACGAACGCGAGGTTCTGGACAGTTCCAAGGCTTCCCAACTCCTCGTTAAGGCGAGTCGCGCTGGCATTGTATTCGGGAATGGCAACGTCCTTGTTCAGCCAGGCGAAGTAGATGGATCGAAGGTCGACGGGACGGTCGCTCGAGATGAAGCGCGTCGGAGTATCCAGAGACACCGATACGGTCGACGGGTGCGAAAAGCGCAGATGTGTAGCTTTGGAGAGAGGAACCTCGGCCGCTGAGGCATCAGAGGAGGCTGTCGGAACCGCAGGTCGTTTGGATGCGATCGACTGGCGCAGCAAGAGCAGGGGGTCCTGCTCAACGGCAGCCATCGTGAAGAGTTTCGGCGTTGGTAATTGACAGTAGGGTATCCACAGTAGTTGCAGTCGGATTGCAACGCGCGATATTTATAACCAGGTAGAATTGAGGTGAATTGACTGCGACGAGTGCTGGCGAAGGTAAGGATGGCAGCCTCGAATTTTGGGGATGCGACCAGCCTCACAGCTGTTGCTAGCTAGGAGCACCAGCCACAATATGATCCTGGTACCTGCGCCACATTATCTGGAAAGCCGCAATGGGGTCCCCCTCGCCAAAACTAAATGTTGCTCTGACAGTTGCATAAGGAGGAGTGATGGGTTCTGTAGGTCACGAATCGGATTTTTTTGCTTTACCAATAGCTCAGACCTTTGACAATAAACACTCTCAATCTCTATTATCTCTCTCTGAGGTGATCGATACCTCTGATCCCTGACGCCTGTCATTCACAGTCTGCCCAACTTTAAGTAGCGAACCCTCTCTTCTTCTACCATGATAGACACACATCCCTTTGCCACCGGATGGATGCTTAGGATTTGTCGGGCACATGGGGCTGCTCGGTAGGTGCTCTGGTATATCAAACTCGAATGGCTGGGCATTCATCGTTTTCTTGGGCCGCGGCCGATGGTCCGGGTTTGCGTCCCACCATTCCTTGGGCTTTTTGGGCAGCTGCTTGTGACAGTCTTGCACCTTCTTCCTCTCGGATCCAAAGGCAGGCTCCGGATGCTAGCTGTCGCCGTCTCCTCCCGGTGGTATCACATTCCCGAAGAAACCTCGGGGTCTCCCATCAGCGGTGTCTTCGTGTAGAGGTGGCGTCTTGACCCGCGTTGCTTCCTGCGCCAAAGGTCAGAATCACGCAAGCTGTGAGCGACTATTGAGAGAACTTACTCCGGCTGGATAAGGGGTCATGGTGTAGTCTAATTGGTCTGAATTATGGCGTTAGCTACACAGTACTAAAATCACAGGACGGCTTCACTCACGAAGAAAGGTTTCGGGATCGGGGGTGGTAGCTGGTGTTCTGCCAGCCAAGACCTCTCGAACTGAACTTGTCACGCTGCTGATGGTGTCATTGGAATCTCTGCGATGCCAAGGTGACTTTCCGAACCACCGTTGTCCGGATTTTGAGCTGTTTGGGGCGTCCTTGGTGAACCCCCAGTTCAATGACTTGAGACCTGACGAGCTTCCAACCTTCTTCAAAGCTGCGGAAATTTGATGAGGGTGGGGTGGTGCACTCGGCTCCTCGGGAGCTGTCTTCTACTCCAAGTCAGATACGTAAACACCAAGGATATCAGTGCCTGCGACTCACAGGCTTACTCTTGAATAAGTTGAACTTTGCAGATTCCCCGCGACTTTTGGTACTGGACGTACCTATGGACTTCCAGCTGCGGGGTGTGTCCGATCCATTGTTCTTGATGTTCACCTCGATTTCTTCGGTGTGTGTCTGAGAGATATTCATAGTTGAAGAGATGCTGGGCAGATGGTCACAAATGTGGCTTGGAGCGCGGGGGTTTTGCAAAGACAGCACGAGAGCTTCTTCTGACGACGGGCTCAAAGGCCCGTGATTGATAATTGCCAAAGGTGAAGGTTCTGCTTCAGAGTTAGAAGGCTCGCTGGCTCCAGAGTATCGAGATTTGGACAATTTGTTTGACCGTTTCCAGAAGTTGCCGCTGGTTTTGCGGGATACGTTCCGGACTTCTCGCTCCGCCCAATACCCTTCTGGAAACCACACCTATTCGAATCCTTCTTTGGGTGGTCTTGGGGGATCGAAGTTAGACCCTCGCTGGGGCGTTGCTAAGTAATTGCCTGGTGACTGTTGGGAAGCCGTTGATGTGGGCGTCGATCGATTCATTGAGTGCGGTGTGGCTGGTGAGCCTGGCATCGCCTGTTTCCCGAAATACCCATCTGCCAAAGCTGGCTTCGGCGTGCTTGAGCCATCCCAGCTGGCTGGCGTGTCATTGGATCCGTCAGGTATTATGAGTCGAAGTGCTGTTTTGAATGATAGTCGTTGGGTCTCTCTCTGGGTTTCAGGGAATGTTTGGGACGAAGAACTGTAGAATTGGTTAGCTGTGAATCGTTGCAATTGCTTGTGCGACTACTCACGTTCGCCTGCAGGATGTTAGGGACATTGAAGAAGGCTCGGCGCCTAGAGGAGGGTCGGAACCTGAGCCTCGACGTGCCATCGTTCCGTAAACGCTATCATATTCCCAAGCACCGAACATGATATAGGGTCAAGGGATGGATGCTGGGCTGATAGGAAGAAGACGGACGAGGCGGAAGGATACTGCAGAGGCTACAGATACGTCGGCGCGCGCGGTCTGGAGACGAAAAGAATACATAGGTGGCAGAGATAGTAGAGAATGCCTTCAGGACCGAACAGGAGACTTGAAAGCTCTTCATATCATGCAGGTGACTGTGGATGAAGGCGCCTGTTCAGCAGGGCCAGTATGGTTCGCACCTGCTGCGCCCTTGCTGAGCTGTACTGGGAAGCAGCCAACACACTTCCTCCAGTAATTGCCTGTAAAGAGCACACGTGAAAGTCATACACACTTGGAACAACGCAGCTTCTCATAATCCGTTCGATTAGGATTGCGGGTATCAAATCAACCTGCTAACGCCTTATAATGCCCTGGGGCTGGCCAAGCTCCAACTCCCATTCCCATTTTTTAGTTCGTTAATCCACAAGCATCGTGTCGTCGCCGTCAAAAGGAGCGTTCTGCTCAATCGCGACACCCTTTCCTCTGCCGGCAAGCAATTCTCTCCTGATCTCAGGGGCAATAGCGGCGTGGCCGTGCGACAACAACAAATCGAGAAGCGCCTCACGTTGATCCTCGCTCAGGTCGTTCTTGTATCTCTGGGCAAATGCCAGCAAACTCTGATGGAAAACCACAGGAAGTGACCTGACCATATCTCCAGAGAAGGACTGGCCCTCCTTGATGGAGGCAGGATCAACACTCCTGAATCTCATGAAGTGGAAAACGAGCGAATCAATAACCTGGTACGGCAGGGCGTACTTCTTCTCCAGCAGAGTCTTGATGAAGATGTTGGCAGATCCACCACCCTCGGTTCCAGCGGAGGCTTCTTGAGCGGCACTAAGCCTATGTCAGTACAGTTTCGAACGGTTCTCGCAGAGAATTTAACACACATTTCAGTGATTCCCTTCAAAGCAGCTGCAGAGTGGAGCACCGGCACCGAAACTCGGGCGAGCACAGCAGAAACAATATGGGCCTCGCGAATGGTGCAGCCGCTAGACAGGAGCGGGAACAAGAAACCCAGAAAGAACGCCCTAGGCTTGTACAAACTCTTCTTCAGAGCGTTGAACAAGTGCACATTTAGCTTCTTGTTCTCGTAAATGTCCTCGCGGACCTTGTCGAGAACAACAATCTCCATGAACTTCTGGCAAACTGCCGGCTTGGAAGCAGAGAATATCCTCGTCGCCTGGTACACTGCGTTCGGCGTCCACTTCTGGGGTTCAGTGACCTCAACGATGTCCTCCCAGTGCGGCAGGGTCGGCAGGATCTTGAAAGGCTTCGGCAGGGGACCACTCTTGTATCGCGACAGAATCTGGCCGATCCTAGGTCCTGTTAGCGACGAGCCCCGGGGCTGGGAAGTCGAAACACTCACTTCGTATACACATCGATGACCTTGGGGGGAAGCTGGTAGTCGACGTCATCCACGGGCACGCCCGCCGCTTTCCTGGCCTCGGCAGCCTCATGCGCCGCAATCTTCTCGAGGATGAGCTCGGTAAGGTTGGTGCCGCCACCAGCCATATCCTCGTCACCGCCCTTACTTCCCCAACCGGCATCGTTCAGCATGTCCGCAGGATCCTCCTCGGCCTCGGGCAGGAATTTGCGGTAGGTTTCAAGGTCCTCCGGATCAATCTCAATCTCCTCCACGACCTCGTCCTCCTCGCCCCAGGCCTCCTCCTCCTCGTATGTCTGCTCGTCGCCGCCAACATCGACCCCATATCTTGACTCGATGCCGAAGAGATCGACACCCGGTTTCGCAGAGGCTTCGGCCTTCGCAGGCGCATCTTCGTCCGCAAGCTCTCGGCCCAGCCTCAGAATGGTGCGACTGCGGGTCGCATCGACGAAGTGGTCGCCATTGCCCTCGTCGCCATCCTTGCCCTTCTTCTTCTTGGGAACCTTGCTCTTCAAAGGACCTGTGGCCAGGATATCGTCCTGCAGAGGGTTGTGCCTGCGCGATTGGCGGTCGGTCGGGGTCGTCGCCTTGCCCATTTTGATCAGATTTGGACTCGAACAGTCGTGGCGGAGAGCGACGGGGCGGGATTGGCGGTGCCTCTTTTTTTTTTTTTCTGTGAGCCTGGAAATTTTTGATTTTCTTATCGATTGCCCCGCGCCTGATTAGCCCAGAACCCTGGACCGGCTTACAGTGGGTCAAGGCGGTCTTTGAACCAATCAATCCCCTGGGCTTTGACTTCATCGGCGAGCCATAACGAGTGCCCCGCCACAACACCCCACCAAAAAGCTTCTGCGAGTGACTCTCTCGGTCTGTCTTACAACGAAGGCGAGACAATTTCCTTGGAACAGCATTTAAAAGTTGGTATTCCTGTGAGGAACGTCCTCCATTTCGCAGAAAACTACATCAAAAAAAATCTCCAAAATGCCGACAGAACTAGAGGAGGTATGAGACCACTCCTCATGTCTGAAGGACTCAGCTTATTCGCAACAGCTCGTGGGCTTCATCGCCCATCCCAACCCGCAAATCAGGAAATTGGCCGTCGAGAATCTTGTCGGTTACTCGCAAGCGCAACCGGCGATTTTCAAGACTGAGGGCTTGACGCCAATCAAGCACCTCAAGTTCTTGGTCAAAGACCACCCTGTAAGCCAGACCCTGGCCTTTGAATGTCGGCTCTGTACAAATACTCATTCATTTTCAGAAAATCGCAGAACATGTCCTCACCATTCTCGTCAACCTGACGGCAGAGAAGGAAGTCTTGGAGAATGTTGCCAAAGATGACAAGTTCATCGGAGAAGTTGCGGATCTGATAGTGAAGCCCAACGAGCCAAACGCAAACCTGATGGCCATGCTCTTGGCCAACCTAGCAAAGTATGACGGTCTCAAGACCATCGTCACCAGAAAGCAGACGCCACCCGAGGAGCTCAAGTCCAATGATCTCGTGCTCAACCAGCTCATTGATCTTTTCGTCAAGGAGAAGGGCTACAACAAGGACGCGGACTACGACTACCTCGCTTACCTCTTCGCCGACCTCACTAAGCATGCCGAAGTCCGCCAGCACTTCGTTACCCGTCAGGACTATGACGAGGTCATCCCCATCACCAAGCTCAAGGTCTTCACAGAGCATGCCTCTGAGATCCGCCGCAAGGGCGTGGCAAGTACCATCAAGAACGTCGCCTTCGAGATCCAGTTCCACCCCACCTTCCTTGATGAAGATGAGGTCGACATCTTGCCTTACATCCTGCTCCCCATCACCGGCAATGAAGAGTACGACGATGAAGACACGATGGGCATGTTGCCCGATCTGCAACTTCTTCCCCCCGACAAGAAGCGCGACTCAGACCCGAGAATCATCCAGACTCACATCGAGACCCTGTTGCTTCTCACCACCACGCGCGAAGCTCGCGACCTGATGAGGAGGGTGAAAGTGTACCCCATCATCCGAGAAACGCATCTGCGCGTGGAAGACGAGGGCGTCAAGGACACTTGCGACCGTCTGGTGCAGGTCATCATGAGCGACGAAGCGCCTGAAGAAGGTGAGGGAGAGCAGAAGCAGTTGACGAACGGCTCCAAGGTGGAGGAGATTGAAGACGACGATAACGAAATTGTGGAGGTCTAGACGGCCAGTATGAGTTTCCTTGCGTCATGACTTATGTAGAGGAATACCCTGGTCTACTGGATGATCTAGAAAAGTTCTTGAATGCAACACTCGGAGTTTGCAGGTGATGAATTTTGTGATATCTCAAAGTTGCAGTACTCATACACTTTGACATGGTACCTGACGAGTGCGCAAAATATGAATTCCCAAGCTCGGGACTGCTTCGTGCCCCCTACTCAACAGAGACCGTGACCTTGCTCTTGTCTACACGTTCATTAGCATCAGACTATCCATCACGAACCGCAACCCTCGATACTCACAAAAGGCAACATGGTCCTTGATCTCGCTCGCCGCGTCCTTGGGCGTGGGATAGTACCAAGCCGCATTCTCGAGCTTGTCACCTAATGAAAACTATCAGCAACCAACCAAGCCAGACAACGTCCGCGCCCATGGGTACTCACTTCCGACTTTGAGAGAGTAGTACTCCGCGGTCCCCTTCCATGGGCAAAACGTCGTGTGCGAGGTCTTCTCCAGGATGTCCGACTTGACCGCCGAGGGCGGGAAGTAAACGTTCCCCTCCACCTCCTCCCACTCCGTCGTCTCCGCGACGGTGGTTCCGTTCACGACGGCCTTGGCTTTGCCTGACTTTGTCATATTGTGACGTGGAGTGATACGGTGCTTGTTTGTTGTGATTACAATTGAAAGACGCTCACCTCACTGAACCTGAAAGGTTTAGGGGGAAAGGGGAAAGGGCTGATGCAGTCGAGGTTGGAATGGGTTGCACACTCGTGCGGGGGTTGGCGCTCGCGCGTCAGATGAAGGTCCGTCTCCAAATCTTCGTCAAGTCTCTCACGTCATTGGTCTCAATGATTTATAAGCTAACAGACCTTGTGCCAAACCTTCGGCTCTCATTCGTAAATTAACATTCACAAGTTAGCGATCATGTGAGTTGGAGTTGTTTGGCATGTATTCATTGAGAGCGAGTAACGAGATACGAATTGAACTGGCTGTATTTGACGTATAACTCTTGCTAGTTGTTTTTCTCTTCTAATGCTAAGTTCCCTTCCCCCTAACGCCCGCTGGGTATATGCATATGTTCATTATATAAAAACACGAGGCCTCATTAGAGGTTGATAATGTCCACCTCGGAAAAGTCTGGAGGGTTCGCCCCGTACACTACGCGAACCTTGCTGTCAAGCGCTGTGCCCTCGTTACTGATCCAGATATGCTCGCTAAACTCCTTGGTCCTCTTGATCTCGTCGTCACTGATCCCGATGTCGTCACGGGGGATCCATACCGCTGGCGCTCGCGCCCGAAGAGCGTAGTGCTGAAACGCGTTTCTAACGAGTACATCACGCTCCTCGGGCGTCAAGTCTTCGATTTCGTCGTGGAACCCGCCATAAAGCGCTTCTCCGAGTGCCCGTTGAGCCTCGAGATCTTTGTCGCGTTGGTGACGTCGGTATTCAGCGGCAGTCTTCACTGAAGCTGGACCCATATTCCACGTCTTAGAGCGGAGATGCTTGCCTCCTTCCTTCGCCCAGTGGCCCACGTTCTTCACACGACGCATAGTCGAGTTCTTGCGTTGCGGGCCACCGTCGTTAAGCTTTTGGAGTTCGATGCCGCGAGGATCCGAACTTGCGCCACCTCCACCCCGCATCGGCGTCTTTTCGTCATCCTCGTCATCGTCGATCAGCCCGAGGCGTCGGTTCTGAGCGCGCTGGAACGCCTCGTCTCTGATAACGGCCTCGTCCTCCACTGTGATGGGTAAGAATCGGAAAAGCGGCGAGAATGCAGAGTTGAGCGATATCTGATACAGCATCGTGAAGCCCAGTACGACCAACATGATGACACCCTGAGCGGTTGCAACGTTGTTACCGTGCTGGTCAACCACTATGAAGAATAAGCCCGCCAAACAAGCCTCCATCACGTACAATCCCGTGAAAGTCTGGTTGATGGCACGGGGATACAAAACACCACCTGTATCGGTCTCGAAGCGCGTGACGTAAAGCATGCTGTAACGCTGAGCGAACCACAGCAAACTAAACGTGAGAACGGCGAACAGCGAGATCAGCGGTGCGACAACGCTGTAAATCAGACCGATGCATGCAAAGTTGGTGTACACAGGGAAGAATTGTCCCCAAGAAATGGTCGAGAGTGTGGTATTTCTCTTCCACTTGGCTCGAGCTGTAGAGTCGAGAATACGAGCCAAGAGATACCATGTGATGAGGGCGCCAATCTGAAGCAGCGTACCGGAGCTCACAGATAACGCCTGCAGCATCATGTAGGAGAAGAAATAATTGGCGGCTTTCGGCAGGTTTGTGGCCAGCGTGTCGAGAATGAAAGTCACGCTTTGCAACTGCTCAAATTTCTGGAGAAACTCGTCTGCTGACGCAACGAAGAAGGATGTGATCGAAACGACGAGGAAGACTTGAATAAACAAGAAGACGAAGTAGAATCGTTGAACAAACTCGGCTCTTTGAGTGCCGGTCTTGACGCCCCGGACCATAGCAAGCTGTTCCAAAATAAGCGGAACAATGACAAGCAGGAGGGCGAGCAGAATCGCGGGCAAGACACCGGCAATAGCACCAGCGAGTTTCTTGATGCTCGGGCTGTCTTTGATCCAGCTAAGCCAAGGAAATTTCTCGATGAGGGAGTCGACGTTCGCAAGCGTAGCCGAGAAGGCGATAGGAATGGCCCAGAAGAAAGCCATCACCGTGACGATGATTGTGACAACGCCTGATCGAAGAGACTCCTCCCACCATTCCATGGCCATGTTGTCCCAAATGACATCTTTAGGCGAAATTTCGTTGATCCTCGGAGACATGTGTTTAGGTACGTGATGCATCAAGCTTTGGCAAGCCATATGAGCCGAGACTTGGTGGTTGAACTGGATGAAGGCAGAATTCATCAAAGGATAGCGCTCAGGGTGGGCTTGATCATCGTCGATCTCGACATTCAACCGGGCGAGCTCTTGGCGACACCAATAAATGGTATCAACCTTGCGTCCAAACGTGAGCCAAGCGAGCCAGTCAGGGAAGCCCCAGCGCGGCAAGCGATGGGTTGGGCGATCCTTATCCCTCAGCCATTTGCGCCACTCTGCCTCGTCGTCCAGGATCTTCGTGTAGTCGTCGCCGATTTCACTCCACGGAGGGTACTCTACGGGATCCTCGCCGTCGTCGCCCATGAAGGGAATGAAGGACTTGATCACCTGCCAAAACGTCTTGTCCTTTGTCTGGTTGAAAGGGAATTCACCGGAGTTGTATCCTTGGGGAATGGGCGATGCATAGCCACCGGCCGGGGCTTTCCAGAACTGCCAGAATTTCCGGGTTTCCTGATCGTACATGTGATCCAAGTTGCTCACTTTCCGCACGGTGTTGCCATTGCCCAATGGCTCGTAGCTGTTCTTGGGGCCTGACGTATCTTGGGTTGCAGCGGATGCATTGCGGGAGTGAGTCTTGTGGGTGTCGGCGGTCGGGGTCGGCTTCAGCTGCTCTCCGTTGCTGCGGACGCTCTTGGCTGTCCCAGGTCGTTCTCCTTCAGCCAAGATCTGAACCTTGCGGGGGCGGTCGTTGGGCTGTAGCATCGCAAATCCATTGGTCGTCTCGACGGTATCTTCGACGTCCTGGCCAAACTCTTTGATTTCTTTTTGCGCCTTGGTGACACCACCAAGCAGCCCCTTTCCGACTTTGGTGAATCCATCTCCAATGACGCTGAGCCCAAAGCCCTTGGATTGGGGACGATCACCGTCTTCAGAAGAGCTTGAAGACGACGAGCTTGATCGCCTGGAGCGTCTCGACTTGGAGTCTTCCTCGTCCATGACGGCGCCAATATCATGAGGGACTTCCTCGTGCTCGCCAGAGCTGATTCCGTTATTGCCCTCAGCCATCTTCCGGGCTTCCTCGTCCTCCCGTTGCCTCCTAAGGAGTTCCTCCTGCTTGGTCGGTCCCTTAGACTTTGACTGTTTTCTAGCAGCTTTCTCCTCCTTCTTGCGTCGTTTCAGCTGCTTCTTCTTTGCAGCTTTAATGAGCTCGGTTTCAGCGTCTTCGAGTTTGAGGTGGATTTTCTCACGAAGCTGGATTTTCTCGAGCAGGCGGTTGAGGTTCCGATTTAACCAGATATTGCGGATCTGGCCAGGGAAGACGTCGAAGAGGCCGAGTAAAGCTTCCTCGGTGAGCCATTTGGAAGGTATACCGCTAACAAGAATGGTTGTAGCTGATGCGCGAAGTCGGTGTTCGGCACTGGTAAGATAATCCTGGCGGACCTTGACGTATACTCGTAGCTCAAAGAAGAAAACGGTGCACGCCCAGACAATGACCAGTATGGCAATGACCAAGTGAGCCCAGTAACGATTTGTATGATTTCGTCCAACATTTCCCCAGGCCAGCGTATCCAAGCCCGTCGGTATGCTGTCCTCTGTAGAATTGCTGTCTGATTCGGCTCGAATGTAAAGCTGCAGGCTTCTAACCAGCAGCCGCGAGGTAGATGAAGTACTGTTGGTACTGTTTGTTGAGTTGGACTCCACATCATTCAGAAAATCATGACCCCTGCCATCGCTGTAGTTAAGCGGAATCAGAATGGGAATAGCCACACAAGCAATCGGAATGAAGATTGTCAGAAGAGCCCTGAGATATCGCAGGAAGAAGTAGGCGTCAAGACCACACTTCTTGATGACTTCGCGATCACTGAATTTAAGCAAAGTGCTAATCAGGTTCCATGGCGCAGCCGGCGGAGAATCTGTTCTCTCTCGCTCGGGGACTAAGTATGTCTTTGGTTTGCTGAGAGAAGTCAGTGACTGCTTGCCCAAAGGACGACACAGGAGTACTCACAAAATACGTGCCAGCTTGTTCCGTAGAAGAAGGAAGGCGAGGACCTGAATGCCAAAGACCGTCAAACCGGTGGCCAAGGCAGTGAGGAAACCGAGAAGGGTCATGCCCTGGGACCTTTGCGCGGCACCGATAGGATTGGCAGTTGCGGTAGTAGATATTGATGCTGTCGTTGACGACGCCGATGAGGTGGTGATTGTTCCATTGCTGCTCATGGTCGCCGATATCGTGGCAGAAAGGGCCGTAGATAGCGACGAGGCCACTGAAGACGCCAGGGACGACGCCAGAGACGTCGTCTCCGACGCCGTTGTCGGGGTAGCCGACATTTTGGATTATCTTCGCAGCCAAGACTATGTTTCGGTATGCGTATAATAAATACAGTGGTCGGTTTTTGTGAGGTTCGCGAGTAGGATTTAGGGACGTCGAGTAGGGCGGTGTAAAGGGGTTAAAGATCGTCGTGGTCGGCGGCGAGTGGAGGGTTCGAGGTGAGGTCGAGATAAAGTACCGGTCACAAGGACAATCGGGAGAACATTGCGTTGTCGTCGAAGGTGGCAGTAGTCGAGAGAGGTCCAAGTAGGGGTCGTGTCGGCGAGGCCGTCGGCAAAGGCAACGTTGAGGTTCTTGAAGCCAGAGGGGTGTCCTCTTTTTGTCGCTGCCCCCAGTCTGTCTTTTGCGTCGAACAGAAGAAATAAAGATGGACAGGAACTAGAGGCACAGACGACAGTGAAGAGGGAGGCGCCAAGAAGGTCGCCAAATGGTTTGAGCAGAACAGCTGCGGCTCGTTGATTGGCTGGGTGGGTGCAGGGACAAAACCTGGACGGGGCCGCGACAGGGGTGGCTGCAGCTGCCTCAGTTGCTGCAGAGGCACAGAGGCAATCGACCGTGGTGGTAGGGATAAAAATGCGTCCCTTGTGAGGCCTTGCAGTTGGTGACATCAGCGGCTTCATTGGCCCGTCGCGTCAAACGAAACGGACCCCTGTAACTCAGCGGGACAATAGTGGGGTCCCGCCACGGTTCGCCATCTCTCTGGCACTGCTACGGTGACCTCTAGCCCAATCATTTGTCGTCTCCCACGCTCTGTGGCTCTGGCTGGGCAGGGGTTGAGGGGATCATGGCCACGGACTGGATTTCTCCATCGACTGGGCTGGGCTGCTGCAACCCACTGAACAGCTGTCTTTGTATCGCTCCCGCCGTCTCTGGTGCGCGCGGCCTCTGGCCTCTGTGCCTCTGTAGACTGTGCACCATCGCTCTCACAACCCACCTTCGCGCCGCAGATGCAGAAATAGATCAGCGCGCGCTTCATCCTATCTAACCACAACAATCCAATTGACCGAACCAGCTTGTTTCCTTGATCCAAGACTCTGGCACCCCAGAAAGAGACCCTTGGCTTTGTTTGTGCTCGCAGATCGAATGAAACGCTCAGATCTTTGAGACGGATCGGCTGAAGGTCATTGTCGTCGGTTTATTTGTGTGTTGTTCTTGGCTTGACTTACCATCTTCCAAATACCAGTTCACACAGGAACCGGGTACGCTACGGTTACTCGGTAGCACCAGTTCCATTGGCGGTGGCGTCTGGCGTCTCAATGCTGGTCGCAAGCTTGGATGGAACCAGGAGCACCTTGTACACTTAAGGCGAAGCGTCAACGAACTCTCTCCACCCAGGCATGCTTACTGGACAACAATGCCTTGGTCGTGGCTAGGAGGCGAACATGCGTGGCTGTGCGACAAGCTGGGAGTGACTCGCCGACAAACTGGAGCACCAGACGACAGACGAGGTTGCGATCTCTCCCCAACCGACCGTTGGATTCCGCGGGAGGCGGGTTGCGCACTGCTTGATCGCCTTGGCGTCTTCGGACAGCGAAGCTTTCGCCGAGATGACACTGCGCCTTAGACCGAGCATGGGAATTCATGGGCTAAGCCACATACCGGCGAGTGGGCAGGCGTTGCGTCACCAACACCTTGAAGACGGCATCGTGAAGGTCTGACTTTGACAAGTTCTTGAGCGTATTGGCCCGCAAGAACTCGTTCCTTGGCAAAATACCCCGACAACACCAGTCACATGAGGTGTCCCAATGAGGGAGCTGGGAATTGGTACTGACCACCCAAAGCCTGATATTTACGACGGTGGCTACTTATCTAGCTTTCCTGCATACCACCCTCCGCCCGTCATCCATCAGCCGTCGACCAGTCCCGGCCCTTCTTCCCTTCAGCCTTCCAGCTGCCCGAGGGTCCTACCCGACATGCGCGGTCAGGCACATGCGCAGGGGAGTTAGGGGAGCCATCATCACGCTCCACATCGGCGCTGAGGCAAGGCAAATCGAAAGAGACCCGGGATCGGGGCACCGTGCCGTTTTCTCACGAATGACGACAACACTTCGGCCCTCCGTCCGTTCTGTCGCCGAACGCGGGCATTTTCCCCAAACCTGGATGGCGTTCCCCCGCTCCACAACAGACCACGATCCCGCTGTCAACCGCTAACACGGACACAATCGCCGCTGTCAACCACGGCACTAGTCAACCTGCATAACCAAATGCACAACCCTCAGGTTTTATTCATCAGCAACAACGCTGTGCATGCCGACTTTCGACTCCGGAGGCTGACTCCAACCGGTCCACTGTCAACACCATCGTCGCACATGATGAACTTCTTCAGCTGGTTAAACGTTCAACGCTGACCGCCCGATTTGGGGTTCGGCAATATCCAGAAAGTTCGCATTACCCCCACTACACCTTCGGCGCACCGGCAGTTGGTTCATCGGCCAATCCCACCCAACCAGCGTCTGTCGCATTCCCGTCTCTCGATCCCGGGCCCGTTACCAAATTTCAAAAAGGCAGAGAAGACATCGAACATCCCCTCATTGTCGCGAGCTTCCCCGCTTCTCCAGCCCATTATGGACCCCGAGCTTGCTCAGATCCCCCACATTCCCCATGTGAGGCTCCAGGACCGGCGGACTTCATAAACTGCCTCAAGGATAGCTACTGCGGAAAATCCGAGCGCCATTGTCTCGATAATCATATTTACCTGCGCAGTCGCACTGAGCTTCTCTTCTTCGTCTGTACTTCAGAGCCACACTCCGACACGATTGCAGACACAATGGCAGACCCGAAAGATTTGAAGATCGCCGTCATCGGCTCTGGTATGCATGCTTCCTCCCGCACTACCTCATGTCAACCTCGCGACTAACATGCGCTCAACGCAGGCATGGGCGGCTTGGGCGCTGCTCTCGCGCTCGCCAAAAAGGGGTTCAAGCATGTTGATGTCTACGAGACAGCATCAACCCTTGGTTTCGTCGGCGCCGGTATTCAAATGCCCCCGAACGTCGTTCGAACCCTCGACCGCCTAGGCTGCTGGCCCGAGATCGAGAAGGAGGCCACAGACGTAAAGGGCTCAAGCATCAGACGTAATGAACAACTCGTCCAAGTAGTAGTCGCGCGACTCGGCTAACACAGGGAAACAGAGGGATCAACCAACGTCGAGCTCGCTCACGTCGACATGCCCAACATCCGCGAGCTCTATGGCTACCCGCACTGCAACGGGCACCGTTCGTCGCTGGCCGGTCGCATGTACGATGCGTGCAAAAAGGAGTCCGCAATCACGTTCCACTTTGCGACCTCACTCGTGTCTGTCGACTCGTTCGACCCGAAGCCAAAGTTCACAGTGCAACCGCGCGACGGCGAAGCGTACTCGGTAGAAGCCGACGTGCTCCTCGCCTGCGACGGCATCAAGAGCATCGTCCGCACCGAACTCCTCGAGTCCATTGGCGAGAAGGGCGAGGAGGAGGACACGGGCCAGGCCGCCTACCGCATCATGCTCACCCGCGAGCAGATGGCCGACGACCCCGAACTCCTCGCCCTCCTCGACTCGGACGACGTCGTGCGCTGGATCGGCGAGAAGCGCCACATCATCGCCTACCCCGTCTCCTCCCACACCATCTACAACCTCTCCACCACCCAGCCCGACTCCAACTTCGCCGCCTCGACCAACGCAACCTACACAACAAAGGGCTCCAAGACGGCCATGCTCAACGTCTTCCACGACTTCTGCCCCTTGGTCCACCGCATGCTCAACCTCGTCCCGGACGGCCAGGTTTGCGAATGGCGTCTGCGCATGCACAAGCCCCTGCCCTCGTGGGTCCACTCCGCCGGGCCCGTCGCCCTCCTCGGCGACGCCTGCCACCCGACGCTCCCCCACCTCAGCCAGGGCGCCGCCATGGCCATCGAGGACGGCTCCGTCGTCGCCGAGGTCCTCGCCCGCGCCCCGGACACCTCGCCCGCGACTCTCCGAAAGTGCCTCAAGGCCTACGAACTCTCCCGCCGGGATTGGTGCTCGCAGCTGGTCAACATGGCCTTCCTCTCCGGCAAGCAGCTGCATCTTGGCGAGGGTAAGGCCAAGGAGGAGCGTGACCGCATGTTCAAGGAGAAGAAGGGCGGCACCGTGCCGGATAAGTGGGCCTCCCCCGAGGTGCAGAAGATGATTTACTCCAACGACTGCGTGGCCAACATCCAGCGTGACTTTGATGAGCTGTACAAGAGCGTAGAGTAGTAGAAAGTTACCCCCCTCCCAATTTCAATGTTGCATAAACACACACAATGCTTGCCTGTACAAGACGCCCCATCATCCGTGCCTAAAATTTTGGGAGGTGTTCTTGTGGCTTTCATCCGTGAGCTCCGAACCAGCTGCGGTGGCGTGTGCCAGGAATGACTCCGTCACACCTAGATCAAGCCACCCGAATTCCAGCTCAGAAACCAAAGAACGACTCAACCCCGCACCAAGCTCGCCTTCTGCTCAAAACTCTGTTCACGACCTGGAGGGGCAGTTTGAGTAAAGTCACAACGTGATGAAATTATACCGGAAGGTTTCGGCTGACTGTCGTAACGACGTCTTCAAGACGACGCGACTTACGTACAACGGGATCCGAAGCCCCTCCTAATTGATACCAATACTAAGAAGAAAATAAAAAAGAAAACCCTGCAACGGAGAACCCAAGAAATCGAGGCCATCTCTCTGGAAAGCGCTTCCCACCCGGCTCTCCATAATTGCGGTTTTCGTGTGCGTGTAATATCCCTTTCACCGTTGACGCCGTGCGACGAAATGCATGTCCTAATGCAAACCAATGCTGATCACACTTTGCCCTCTTGTCCCTAACCCCGTGAACCGGTCTGCTGTCTTTTGCCAGAACTCAATGACATGCCCTTGGCTCAGCTCGCAGCAAGTCTCTCCCTTCCTCTCAAGTTTGATCGCATCTGTTGGGTATCGATAACAAGTCGGTCGGTCGCAATCGCGAATGGCACAGCGCGCGTTTAGAACAAGCAGTCGAGACAGCAA